TGTCAGAAGAGAGAAAGGGGTATGTAATAGAAATGCTATAAATGTAGAAATGTCAAGAGTTGGCAATTGATTAAATGTGCGGGGTGTGTGTGGGAGAGAGTAAGGAATCAAAGATGACACCTGGGTTATGATCATGGGTGACTGGAAGAAGACACCACAGTAGTACAGAAATTAGGAAGAGAAGAGGGAAAGACAAATCCTATTTTGGACATGCTGAGTTGAAGATATCTCTGAGACACACAACTGGAGATGTCTAATAGACATCTGGAGATGTAACACTAGCGATTAAGAGAAAGATCAGGGCTGCATAAATAAAGCTAAGATGCATCTTCATAGAGATTATAGTTGAATTCATGGGAATTGCATAAGAAATGCTGTTAACCTGAAATTTATATTCAGAGGGCAATACAATTGTGTTGGAAAATTAACTCCTCTTGTGATAGAGACTGTTGCTATTATGGTTTAAAAAACTGTCAAGTAATTAATTGTGTATATTTTGTGTAAAATGAATGATAGTGATGTAATTACTTAGAGTTTAGGAAAGTACCACAGATTTGGTAAATGTCTGAGAAGTTCTTTGGGGTCTTGCTAGATTTTCAGTCCCCTGGATCTTTGGCCTTGTTTGAGGTCATAAATATCATAAACTTTGTGAGAGTTGCTGAAAGAATGTTGTAAAGTTCTAAAATAGTGAAGCTAACGAGAAATTAGAATCTCTCATAGCTGAAGTAGAGGAGTTTACAAATTTATTTTATAAAAAGTGATTTTTACTTGATAGACTGGCCATTGCTTATGAAAAATATGAAAGTACACCTGGAATAGTACGTATTGAAGTTACATCTTTAAGCCAACTTAGTATCAATTGATCCCATATTTATGGATTTTATTTTTCTTAATTTCTAATGATTGATTTCTGCGCCAAGAAACACTTAAATTAGAGAGGATGAATCATATAAGGTTTGTATTTGTTTATTGTTAACTGTTATTGTACAATATGAGAAAAAAAATAATAATAGTTGTACCTAGCCCAAATATCTGAGGTAAAATCTCTTGGTACCGTAATTTGATATTGTTCTGACTTTTGATTTGAGGTATGAGTGAATTGTCATTGAGCCAATAATTCACCATTTAAGGGAAATGCCAGGTACTTCTCAAAGAGAGTATGATTTGAGAACTACTATAGGTGGATGTCTGTGCCTGGAAAGGTTGAAAGGACAATCTTGTAAATGTCATGGTAGGATCATCTTGATTCAGTTTCCCCATTGTGTTATTTCTTTTCTGAATAGAATATTTTCCCACCTGATTGATTCTGAGACTAGCTATGTAACCTGTGAACAACGTGGAACTTTGTTGTATGAGTGGCTGTTCCAAAATAAAGGTTAACTGTGACTCTTACCTGGAATCAAATAGACTTAAAGAAGCTTTATCCTGTTATGCTTATGTCAGGTCAGTCTTGATAACCATTTCCATGTAGCAAATTTCTATAACAAGGGCAGGTGAACTGTAAAAGTTTTTATATGATGAATCCTGTTGCAATATTCAGTATCTCTGAGTTACTCTAATAAGATGCAGGTATGAAAGATCTTACTTTTTTAATTTTACTGTTCTGAATTTGTGGTCATTAATAGTAATATATTCATGTATAAGATTAGGACCTTAAAGTACTTTGTTCTTTCTGGATATTTGAAGATAGTCTATATCCTCAAAGGGTATACAGGACTATTAGGACAAAAATGTGGTATGACAAAGATGTAAAAGTTTTAAATTTTAATGGAGTAGTAAATTTCACTTTGAGAAAGGAACAAGATTAGATTGTTCTCTCAAGGAAGTAATATATATATGTGTATGTGTGAGTGTGTATATATATATATATATATACACACACATACATATATATATGCTTATTTTATGAATAAATAGTTTATAAGGATTGTATCCCCTTTTAAGTTATTCATGCTTCTTAAACCATTATTTTAAATGACTTAAATCAAACCCACTATTTCACTGTCAAATTAATAATAGCAAACTTAAAATGTGCCAAAATTCTACATTTTCTTTCTTCTGTTTCAGTCCATTTTCTCTCCATAATTTTCATGAGTATCATCATCACATAACTCATTTTATAAAGTGATGTGCACAGTGTCACTTACTAGTTGTGTGACCCTGGCAAGTCACTTAACCCTGTTTGCCTCAGTTTCCTCATGTGTAAAGGAGCTGAAAAAGGAAAAGGCAAGCCACTCTGGTATCCTTTCCAAGAAAACCCCAAATGAGGTAATGAAGTCAGACATGGCTAAAATGAATGTCAATTACACACAAATGATCTATCTATTTATCTCTCTGTCTGTCTATCTACCTTGTTTCGTACATAGTTGTTTGCATGTTGTCTCTCATTAGTCAGAGTACGAATCCTTGAAGGCAGGAACTGTTTTTGTCTATCTTTGTATCCCCAGTGCTTAGCTGAAGTACCTGGCACACAGTTAGGCATTTAATAAAATGCTTGTTGACCTGACTTTATGTTCTGATGAAGTTTAATATCATCCTCCTAGTAGTCCTAATTTAAGTTACTGAATCTTCTTCTATTAATGAAGAAAAGGAAAATCATTCCTTTTGTGTGTAAGATCAAATTACTTGGCTCCCACCTGATTAATATTTTATACTGAGTACTTTCTTTCATGCCCCTTCCCCATTAGGGAAATTCCTTAATGTGAGCCATCATCTAATTTATTATAATTAAATTTGTCTCTGGAGTGATGGGGTGGAAGATTTAACAATCTAATAATTTTGAGAACAGGGAGTCTAGCTCCACTTATTACATTTAGGCTCCTCTAGGACTGAATTAAATTGCATGTTTGTATCACCTTAGTGGAAAAGAAACTGGCACAGGACCTTAGCCCCGTGGGCCCACTAGGGCCTCGGGTACACTAAGGTCCACAGAGAATAAGCTTTACAGCTAGTTAGTGGGTACATCTAGGATTGTTACGACCATATCCTTTCTCAGTTTATCTTCTTCCTGTTGTCATGCCCTTGTGGTTCTTATGGTTGTGATAATAAACAATATGACCTAATCTGTCATGACATTGATCTTCATGCTTCCATTATAGTACTGGGCACTGAAAGGAGTTAAGGGAAAAAATATTTATTTCTCTTCACATTTAGTAGCTTATTTTATGAATAAATAGTTTATAAGGATTGTATCCTCTTTTAAGTTATTCATGTATCTTAAACCATTATTTTAAATGACTTAAATCAAACCGCTATTTCACTGTCAAATTAATAATAGCAAACTTAAAATGTGCCAAAATTCTACATTTTCTTTCTTCTGTTTCAGTCCATATTCTCTCCATAATTTTCATGAGTATCATCATCACATAACTCATTTTATAAACCGATGTACACAGTTTTTCAATATTTTCAAAACTGACAATTCTAATCCATAACAACACATTAAATCAAGAGATATAACATTATATATACTCTTTTATCTTTATAAAGACTTTTACCATGTTAATGTATTAAGTACTAATTTTGTTACTAATTATTCTTGATTTTAACTTTGCTAATATATTACATATTATATCTCTATTCCAATTTGGGATGTGAAAGTATAAAACAAAAAAGAAAATCGAGCATTTAAAATTAGGTTAAGCTTGTTTCAGTTTTATATTTCTATAGCTATGCTTTCTGATATGAAGAGAAAGTGCATTTTAGGATATTTGTTAGTGTAAAAGGTGAGGAGGGGCAATAAATTGGAATAATGAGCTAAACCTACACCCTAACCATTTCCAGTGGCTCATGTTTTGGCTGGAGGTTTTCCTATGGAGCAGAGATTGAGCTTTGGCCACTTCTGAAAGGAAGCGGCCAGAATACACGAATCATCAAAAGTGGCCAAAGTACAGGTTTAACTTAATGCATGATGCATGGATTTGTTCCCTGTAAGCCTGCCACAAGCATATGCCATGTGAGGAGTGCCAATCCATCTCCCCTTATGGTAAAAAAGTATGAAAATCTGAAAAGATAATATTAAGACAAAAACATACCAAACAAATTAAATTCTTTCTCCCTAACACCCCCCCACTAGAGTTTAAAAACGTTTAAAAGTATTTAAATACGTCACAATAGGAAGCGTAATTTAAAATTGTTTAATAAAAACTTTTTTAATGCCTTTAGGCACCAACAAAATTGGGTTCTTCTGAATAATAAAATTATGCCCCAAATTCTGAGCAGACTCCATAGACTTAAAAGTCTAGAATCACACATTTTGACATTTATTGTCATTACACTTTCATTTATCTTTCTATCAAATAAAGATCAATAGCCATTCTGATGTTTGCCAAACCTTTCACTTACTCTTAGCTTTCACACTTCCAAAATCTCACATTATGTTTAAGTCGATTTACATTAGTTAAAAACATCAAAACACTTCCTAGTTTTTCCTTTTCCAGATTACAGATGTTCATTTCATTACTTTTTTTTGGTAATATTACTTAATACTTAACCAAATTAAGTATTAAAACTTCAAAATATAGTTGATGAGTAAAATAAATGGATTTTTTTCTTTGTATTAATGTTTCCGTCATATTTCCCAAATAAATTTTAAATGTTTTACATAAACAATAATATTATTCAAAGGAGTTTAAATCAAATAGAACAGAGTCAAAAGGATTAGAAAAAGACAGATTCTAAAATAGAGAAATGGTTAAGTAACCACTAAAACTTAAAACTGTTCCAGTTCAATTCAAGATCTAAAATGAAAACTACAAAGTATTTTTACCCTAATTCTCAGTGAAAAAACTTAGGGGAGGGAGAAGAGCCTCTAAAATATGTAATATTTGAATATCAAAATATATCCATTAGATGTCTCTACTTACTAATTTGAAAGAATATTTTCCTTTACTATGCTATATTATGAAAATTACTAATATTTAATTTTTTACTCAAAACTTATTTCTATTTCTAAATTTAATTTGTGTTTTAAAAAAAGATACAAAATGTGAGTAACTTACATTCAATATCAAGGTACATGCTTTTTTGGTGCCCACCAATTCTACTTGCCGCTTCACAGTCATATCTCCCTGAATCTGACAACTTCACATCTTTAATGTGCAGTAACGATCTTCCATGTTGCCCTTTGACTTCAATATGGCCATCTGGGCTCTGTTTACATAGGTTCAGGAAAAAGAAAGATATTATGCTTGCTTTTTATAATTATGAATGAACTTATGGCATTCAGCACAAAATGACTTAATAATCTAATGAATTTAACAAAAGTAAAATTTTACCAATACATTTTATAACATCATTGCAAAATAAACATTTTGCAAAAATTACATAAATGAATATATTTCTACATCTTAACTCTTGGGAATTAATATAACTTAAAAATATTCAAACATGGAATGGATTAATATCTGTTTAGTTATACTTCTGTGAAAGGGTAAAGCAATTTATCAGTAATTTGAGCTCTGTGGTTATAACATAGTAAAAATTACTAAAATTTTATTTCATCAGCATTAGGGAATTCTAGCACAAAACTTTTCCCACTGATGCAGACTGGAAACTCAACTGAAACTAAAAGTCATATTTTTCCCCACTATTCTACCCCACTTCTCTTCACCTAGCCCAGATCACTATTTTTACCCTCTTTTCCCCCTTTTTTTTAATCTTTCCTTTATGATCTACTCTCTGGAGTTGAAATTTGATTATTTGTGATTATTCCCTCCTCAGCTTGCTCTCCCTCTTAACCCTACCTTTTCTCAGTCTCCACCAATTTTCATGTTCAGTTTCAATGTAGTCTTACACCAAACACTCTCTCTCTCTCTCCTCTCTCTCTCTCTCTCTCTCTCTCTCTCTCTCTCTCTCTCTCTCTCCCTCTCTCTCTCTCTCTCAGTATGTGTGTGTGTTTACATGTGTTCAACTTTCCTTTGTCTAGTTCAGATTAAAGGTGAGGTATAAAGTAAGTTCCTCTCAATATTTTCCCTAGCATAATTCTTTTTCCTTTCTCTCTTTTTCACACTACTAAAATAGAGTAAAATTATATCCAAGTCCTGTATTTGTCTTTCTTGGTTCCATCTTTGACCTTTAAAGATAGTGGGATTCTGAATGGAATGCCTCTTTTCCTATCAGCATGTAAGTAGTTCATCATTGTGTAACAACTTCTAATTGCTCAAATGTGTATTTCTCTTGTCTCCTAAGCTGGAGTTTCAAAGATTCTACCCAGCTCTTATCTTTTCACTAGGATGTTATAATAATTATTAAGGGTCAATTTTTCCCTTCTGTGTCATATTCAGTTTTTCATGGCAAATTATTTTTGCTTGCTATCTTTTACCTTTCAACACATCATATTCTAAAATTTCCTTTCCTTTGTAGTAGTTGTAACATTGTCTTGTGATTTTTTAAAAAATAATTTAACTCTTTCTTCCTGACTGCTTGCAGTACTATTTTTTTAAACATGAAAGCTCTGAATTTTAGTGACTACATTATTGGATAGCTCCAATTTGGGGTTTATTTCAGGAGGCAATTAGTAGATTTTTTTTTTCTATTCTCAATTTGCTCTCTCTGGTTCCAATGGTTCTAGGTAATTTATTCTCATGATTTCATGAAATAGGGCATGTAGGTTTTTTAATGTAGTCATGGCTTTCAGAGAGTCTGATGATTCTTAAATTTACTTTTCAGTTCCTATTTTCCAGGTCAGTAATTTTTCTATTTATTAGATATTTTTACTTTGTTCCACTATTTCTTGCTGTTTCATGGAACTGTTGAATTTTACTTGTTACATTAAAATTTTCAGGTAGTCTATTACTAAGGTATGGATTTCCACGTTCTATTTTAAACTATTTATTTAGCTTCCAAACTTTTTCTTCAAGCACTCTAATTTCATTTTTATCTTTTTTCTTCATTTCTACCCTTATGAATTCTTGTAATTAACACTATTCTTTTCTTTGAGGTTTATTTGTACATGTTGTGAAATTACTCTTTACCTCTTGGGTTTACCTTAACCTGCAGTATTTCTTCATCGTGTTTCATGTTTTCTTCTGTTTTGCCACATCTCCAACCTCAGTTTCTGGTTTGCTACTTTATTCTAGGTCAGTTCTCAGTCCCAGCCCCCATGTATGGATAGGATGGGCTGACTCTGGTTTTATCCCGTTTGTAGTTTGGATGATGCGCTGCAGTTTACCCTTTGTAACAACTGCCAAGTGTTGGCTTCTACACTTGTCTCTCCTTCTTTCACAACCCGCCACCCACTAGATAATATAGGCAGTATTTGTCTCAGGCCTTTTTGAAGACCCAAGTAATTAGGCTGTGCTTATGATCACTCTGAGGTATCTACTACTCCACTCAGTTCCAGTGCTGCCTGTGCCAAGATCCTGTTGTCTTTAGTCTCTGATTATCAAGAATCATTCTGTCATCCACTTTCCCTACAGTGCCCCCACTCAGAGACTTTTAGGCTGGCTTCACCCTTCCTGAGAGCACTTGTAGACCTTCTGTTCTATAAGAATGGTTTGATTTTAGCTTCCTTGGCTTGCCTCTACTCAAAACTTCTGTAGGCTTCAGGTCATTTATTGGGTCTCATAACTGGTTTTTGCATCCCCTGTCACAACCCATTCCCTGCACATTTTGAGGAGGATGCAAGTTCAAATCTTGGTTCTACTCTTTGCTACTTGTGTGGCCTTGTTTGACTTCCTGTACCTATCTGGGCTTCAAATTTTATTTTCTGTAAAATGAGGGGGTTGAATTAGATTACCGCCAAGGTCCATTCCATTACTAAATTCTATGATCTTTTAACCTTGCCTACAATTTGTTATGACATATTTTTCTCAGTAACTATCTTTCAAAGAAAGAGGTCTTTCCTTAAAATGCATTGAACATATTGTATTAAAATATACTTTAATTAATTTGGGGAAATTTGAATTCAAGGATAAACATAAAACTATACATTAAGATAATTTGCATAGAGAATTTACTCCAATAAATCTTAATTATTCAAAGAGAAAAAGCAAGTGCACAGAATGGAGATAGTATCAGAGCTCATGAGAGGAAAAAAATACCTATATATACAGCAGACTGAAAATCAGAGAAAGAAGTACAGGCTGCAACTTATAAGAAAGGAATGTTTGAGAATACAGAACAGAGCAATAAAGATATTTTTAAGGATAAACTGACATTTTTGAGTCGCCCTAGTTATCAGGGTTCTAGACATTGCCACAGTTCTATGATTTAGGAGGCAGGCACACTTCAGAGAATAGAGAAGGACTCAGAAGGTGCTGGCAAGAATATACTTGTCACTGACCTTGAGATACAGTTAAATGTTCAATCCTTTGAGGAATTCTGTGCCTAAAGGTCAGCAGTCAATTCATAAGACTCCCTAGAAAATGCATACATACACATACACACACACACACACACACACACACACACACACACACACACCCCTCCCTATAAGGTAACACAAAACAAAAACACACAGAAAAAGCCACAAACATAACTCAAGGGCTAGCACTTCACTCTCTGGAATGATATGAATGGATTTTTTTAAAAAAAATCACTTTCTTTTGTCCTGTTATGCCCATGCCCAGACTTTAGTCTGGATAATCTCAGGAGATAGCTCATGTTATGTTTCATAAATATGGGTGGAAGAACCTCCAGGACCTATATGAACACTCAAAGTTACAGATACAGGATACAGATACAAGGATATAGAGCAACCTTTATTTAGATCTACAGAGTATGCAGAAAGTGCAAAAGATTCACTAAAATCCATAAAGATCAGCAGAATAACCAACACGTATATAGCATCTACTGCGTGCCAAGCACTGTGCTAAGTGTTTACAAATACCTTATTTGATCCTCACAAAAACTCTGGAAATAGGTATTATTACTATACTCATTTTACAGATGAATAAACTGATATAAACAGAGGTTAAGTGACTTGCCCAGGGTCATACAAGTATTACATATATGAGGCTGGATTTGAACAAAGGTCTTCCTGATTCTAAGCTTTGTGTTCTATCCACTGTACCACCTAGCTGCCCTCAATCTAGTCCTCTGTCTTCTCCAGTGAGTTTCATATCCAAGAGGACACATGAAGTACTCACCAGGAACAAATATCCACTGTGCGTGTGTGTGTGTGTGTGTGTGTGTGTGTGTGTGTGTGTGTGTGTGTGCATAAAAGATTTTATTCCAGGATCTGAAGGACTGGTATATAAAAGAGGAACTGGACTTGTTCTGTCTGGCCATAAGAGGGCAGAACAAGGGGTCCTGGGTGGCTCTTGTGGGGAAAGGAATTTCAGTTTGATGTCAGTAAAATTTCCTAACAATTAGAAATGTCCAAAAATGCCTTGAGAGATAGTGTATCTCTTCTTTGTAGGTCTTCAAGTTGAACCTGGATGACTACTTATCAGATATAGTGAGAATTCTTTTTAAATATAGTGAGGATTCCTTTTAATGTTATAAGTCCTGGTTGGACTACACAGCTCTCCAAGTCTTTTCCAATTCTGTAATTCTGAGTAATGGTGGAGGAGGAGGTCAAGATCCCTAGTTCCTGGTCTTTCTGGCATTAGAAGCCATATGCTCTTTAACTGTCTTTCACCAAGATGAATACTATTTAGGAAATTGCCTGTTGTAGACAAAAGGCTACATCCTTAAACTAAGATTTGGGCAATTCCCTTCCCAGCCATTTAGATAAGCACATGTCTGCTTTATCATGTGTTTTTGACATTAGAGGCTCTTGGTGGTACTGAGGGGGAAGGAATCTCTGCTTCCCACCTGCTATACTCTCCGGATTCCTATAGAGCAAAACTAGAAAATAAAGAAGGACTGAGTAGGTCTTTTTTTTCCTCCCTCTTTGTAGGCCAGCACAAAGTGGGTAACTTCACCTGCCCTTCCAAGAGTCTAGGCTAACCAAATCATCTTGGCTACTCATAAGTGAAATAAGTTTTCATATGTGAAGAATCCTCCATGAGACATTAAGAAGCACGTCCAGATCTTTTGGAATGAAGAACATCATCTGTCATTACATAACAAAGCAATCTAGATGAAACTTTGGCGGCCTCTTTCTGGGCTATTAGTTTTAAACTTCATTTTTCTAACCACTGGAGCTGCTGCTGCTATTGAGGACCTGGTGTGGTTTGGAAAGAAGATAGGCAGGTGATAGCAGC